CCCGTGTGCGCCTCCCGCCCCCCCCCCCAGCCGCTCTCGGCTCGCACCCCAACGGCCATCGAGGAAGAAGTGCAGGACTGGAGTGGGGGAGGGTTGAGACAGAAGGAAGGATTTCAGGGACAAATGTTGGCACTGGGGACTGTGAGGTGTTAGCACAAGACACCGGGAGAATTCAGAACAGGGAACGCATTGCCAAAGAGTTCCATCCCTGGGAAAGGCAGGGGGTCCAGGGGAATGGGGCTGAGAGAGCTGCAAGGGGGAGGCATGAAGAAAAAAGAAGGGGCATTCCAAATGGGCATAGCACCCCATGAAGAGTTTTAGTGGTAACCAGAAGGCACAGAAACCAGTGTCCCAGGTCCAGCTGACTCGCCATGCTTCCTCCAACCCCCTCCCGCGGCTGGCCCCATGGACAGTCCCCACTGTCGTTCTGTGCTACCCGGTAACGTTCACACCACCATTCACCTATGCCTTCCAGCCCACCTGGCCCTCCTACAGGGACCAGTCCTCTTATGCCCCCTGCTTAGGTGGCAAGAATTCCCTCTTATCCTATGCCCCAGGGCCTAAACTACTGGGTTATTTTTCTATGAAAAAATGCGTCATGACTTTTCCAACAACCCAATATTTCTTAGTTACTTTAAAAGAAATTTGCTAAAAGGTGCGAGTGCTCCCCAGAGAAAGAGAAAGGGAGAGGGAAAGTGAGAAATCACCCTCTAGGGGGATGGCCATGCCACAATTCCTTCTCTTCCATCCTCCTCTCAGGATTTTGGGCATGCCATAGGGCTTGAACCAAGACTTGAACCACGCAGTCAGTCACATGGGATCCAGTACCTTAACCCTCATACCACTTGCTGACTTGAGGACCCAACCTTTTTTTTTTTTTTAAGTTTTTGTTACCGTGTGTGGGCCCTCACCGGAGAGAGACGGGAAAGAGAGATAGAGACATCACCATCCCCCAGGGGGAATGACCACACCACAGTCTCCTCTCCTCCATTCTCTCAGGACTCTGGGCACACGTGGCCAGTCATGGCGTGACTGGGTTCAGGACTCAAACCATGCAGCTGGCCACATGGGACCCAGTTCCTTAACCTCCACCCCACCTGCTGGCACACCTTTTTTTTAATTGCCAAAGGTCACATACACTTGCCGGAGAGAGAGAGAGAGGGAGAGAAAACACCCCCCAAAAAGATGTGGTCATGTTGCAATCACTTTTTTAAAATTACAAATCATTTATTTTATTTACTTATTATTATTATTATTTTAATTTGACCAGGCAGAGAGAGATAGAGGGAAACTGAGAAAGCAAGCCTCCAGGTCCAGGACTCGAACCATGGTTAACCATATGGGAGTCCAGCACCTTAACCACCATGCCACCTGCTGGTCCCATTTTTTTTTTTCAGTTGTTGCTATGGGTGGGGCTAGGCTGTGGCACAATGGTACTGCGACCTGATCCACATGGTATAGCTCATAGATTTGCTTCCTAGGGCCTCCATGGATATGCCAACTGAGATTGGACGTGGCTGTTAGCAGGAGGGCCACCCTCTCTCTCTCATGAAATAAATAAAAATAAACAAGAGCAAAACAAAATTTTATATTTTAAGAGAGAGTTTTGCTATGGGGGGGCATGTGCTTGCAGAAGAGACGGAGGGACAGAAAGTGAGAAATCACCCCCAGGGGGATGGCCATGCCAGAATCCCTTTCCTCCATTCTCCTTTAGGGATTTTGGGCATACACACATACCCAGCGTGAGGTGTTTTTTGTTTTTTTTTCTAATAATTATTTATTCATTCATTTATCTTAATTTGACCAGAGAAAGATACACATGCACAGAGAGAAAGAAGGTGAGAAAGCAAGCCCACGAGGTCTAGGACTCAAACCATGGTTGAACCGTGTGGAAACGTCCAGGGCCTTAACCACCGCACCACCTGCTGGCCCCACCCAGCGTGAGTTTTAAGTCGCCGGGTCTGGGACTCAGTGACTAAGTGGGAGTCCAGCCATGTAATCATTATGCCACCTGCTGGTCCAAACAGAAGAAAAAAAAAATCCTAGGTGCTGGCAGGTGGCATGGTGGTTAAAGGTGCTGGATTCCCACATGGAGGACCAAGTTTGAGTACCAGATCTGGAGGTGTGCTTTCTCACTTTCTCTGTCTCCCTCTGGTCAAATTAAGACATAATAATTACAAACGTAAATAAATAAATAAATAAATCTTAAAAAAAATTTTTTTTTCTGATGGAGAGAGAGAGAGAATTTGAGGAATCACCCCGAGAAGGGATGGCCACACTAAATCCCTTCTCTTCCATTCCCTTCTCAGGATTCTGGGCATGCACACACAACACCTGACAGGATTTTCAAGCCGCCAGGTCCAGGACTTGAGCTGCATGGTTGGCCAAGTAGGATTTGGTCACCTTAACCACCAGACCTTCGGCTGGCCCGACTATCAGGTATTTTTATTATCCCTATAGAAGAGGACTCAGGGTTGGATGGTAACACAGTTGCAAAATGTGACCCTGAGACTGGAAGATTCTGGGTTTGGGTTCCAGAGGCCTCCCTGAGAATGCTGGGCACACGCATGCCTATGACCCAAGGCCACCTGAGACTGGGGTGGATTGCAGCATCAAGACCCTGTTGCAGGGGGACCAGCAGTTAGTGTAATGGCTATGTCGCTGGACTCCCACATAGTCGACCGCAGTTCGCGACCTGGACCCGGTGGCTTAAAACTCATGCCGGGCACGTGTGCGTGTGTGCCCAAGATCCCGAGAGGAGAATGGAGGAGAAGGGATTGTGGTGTGACCATCCCCCCTGGGGGGTGATTTCTCGCTTTCTGTCTCTCTGTCTCTCTCTGTCTGCCTGGCGAGCACATGCACCCTATAGCAAAAAAAAACTCTAAAAAAAAAAAAAAAGACCCTGTTGCAGGGACCAGCAGTTGGCATAATGGCTATGTCACTGAACTCCCATGTAGCTGACCACAGTTTGAGTCCCGGACTCGGTGGCTTAAACTCACGCCGGGCACATGTGCGTGCATGCCCAAGGTCCTGAGAGGAGAATGGAGGAGAAGGGATTGTGGCGTGGCCACCCCCCTGGCCCATCATCCCTGGGAGGTGATTTCTTGCTTTCTGTCTTTCTGTCTCTCTCTCTTTTTGGCGAGCGCATGCACCCTATAGCAAAAACTTCTCCAAAAAAAATAAAAAGACCCAGTTGCAGATGCTGTCTCTGTCTCTTACTCATGAAATAAATAAATAAAAAAAGACTCTGGAGTCCAAAGGGTGAAACATCTGCCCAGAGCCACATAGTTGGCAAGAGGAATAACAGGGATTTACACCTAGGCTATCTAGCTCCAGAGCTAACGTAAGTGACCCTCAGGGCTCTGATGTGCCCTGTGACCTTGTGTCCCTTGCACAACCGCCTGTGCCCCCTCCCCCGCACTGCTTGCTCACTCACCAGGTGCTGGGGGCGTGTGCAGGTGCACGTCCTCACTGTACTCGCCGTAGCCGGCCTTGTTGCAGCCACGGACACGCAGCACGTACACGGAGCCTGTGTCGGGGTTCTCCAGCAGGGCGCTCGTGCCCCTCACCTCCTCCCGGCGCTGCCAGCGGGTGGGCCCCGGCTGGGCGGGCACATCTGTGCGGCGGAACTCCACGGTGTAGTGCCCGGGAGGCGGCGAGTGGGGAGGCAGCCGCC